ATTATCGACTGAAAATTTTAGATTTCCTTTTCTGCTGTACACATTTTTTAATTCCAGCCTCGAACTAAGAATAAAACTCCAAAATAAATATAGTTGCAATCTCTAAAAACTGGCTATTCCGGGTGCATATTGTAGGTTGTTAACTTGACAGTCAATATTGAATTGGTTTTCTTATGGATTGCCGTAGTTACCTGTGTCCCTGTGTAACTAAATATAGGAAGACTTCGAATATATGAGACAACTTTGACAAGAGCACTCTGGAATGTCATTTCAGTCGTTTAATAACTATTTTATTTGTTGTTTGTTTTTTAAAATTAAGCTTATAAACACTACTCATTATACCTTAAATGCTTGATTTTGATTTTGAAATTTGGCTTAGCATGCAAAGGTGTGTTTTTAAAGAAGGTGATAAGTTTACCAAAAGATTGTGAACAAATGTCAAGTTCTTTGCACGTAAGTGAAGAAGATGTATAATTCCTTTCTGGCACAGTGCATGCATTTCTAGTTATTTGGAAACAAACTTCACAAATATTTGACCATCTATTCGTCTCACTGTAGTCAGGAGTAGAGTTGAATTTGCTAGAATTTCTGTAAGTTCATCCTATATTTGCTATAGAAGCCTAGTAACTAACAATGGAAACAGAACAATTGAAGTTATTAATTGAACAGAACAATTAAATGCCCCTTCTACCCATGTTCTAGGCAGCATTTTATGTCTTTCAAAATGAGGAAAACAACTGTGAAGAAAAGTAGTACTTTTGTCTAACAAATGAAACGGGCTAAATACGCTTGTATAGGTTCACCCGTGTTTTTTTCTTTAAGCACTATAATTTACTCTTGTTTTGGTTTATGTATGTCACATCTCAGGCTGTGTTTAGTGGCACGAAAGTAAGAAACACTTTGAGAAAGTCCACAGCTGCGGCGTCCTCCTCGCATTCACAGTTAGGAAAAGACATCGATTCCTCTGCAAGTGAAGCACCAAATAATACTTCAAAGAACAGGAACTGCCATGTAGCCATGCATGATGAAGCAAGCGTTAATTCTTCAAGTCCATCAGCTAACCAAGAGTTAAGGAAAGACCAAGCAAAGGGGAAAGAACCCAATGTGCAGAAATCCATAGTTTCAGAGAATTATAAGACGATGTCCAAACAAGGAATTGAGGGGAGGCAGAAAGTCAGGGTGCGGAGAAGCATGAATTTGATGGGGAGACCAAGGGACACTAAAGCTGTTTCTGGCTCCGGAATGGGACGATTTGCTGTTGGTGTTACATCGTGAATGGTACACGTTTCGTTCCCTTCCAGGTAGTAGGAATCATCAGAATAAATTGTCCATGTTCTATATTGCCATAATTGTTTTCATTGCTGTTATGGTGTACTGTAATTTAGAAGTCATGTATGTTAAGGTTCGGCAGGAATAAGCAACAAATTGTGACTAAATTTTCTCTATTTTGAAAGACATTATATCGATAATTGTTAAATTATGCTTTAGGTAACCAGGGATTCATTTCAGTCCCCTCATCTGTCAAGAATACTTTATTTTTTTAAGGATAGTCCAATTAGAGTCCACGAAAACATGACCATTAAAATGGCCATGTGTTTCTGTCTATTTTAGCTTTATCTTTAATTAACAACTTTCATAGAGCTTAAAGAAGCCACACATCAATCTCATTTAATGACAGAGATTAGCCCAAACCTTGTTAGCTCATTTTTTTTCCTTCTAAATTCTATGTTAAAATGTTTAAAATTTGTCAATAGGGATAGCGATATTCACTTTTGAAAATATAAGGACCAATTTTGAACCAAATTTGAAAGCATAGGGATCCAGATACCGAATTGAACCTATAAAAATGACTTTTTTTCAACAAGATTAAAAAAGAAAAAGAAAAAAAAATCAGAGTTCAAATGAGAAATTTGGAAGGTTAAAGCTTCCAGGTTACTATCTCCATCACCTCATTCAAACTCCAAACAAACCAATCAGTCCAAAGAGAGCGACCGCCGACAACTCCACGGCTACCCTCCTTCGATCAGCACCGGCGAAGTCCCGGTCAATGGGATACAAGTTTCCGGGTGTACACTTGACGCTGGGATCCTCCCCGCCGGTGGATTCATGAAGCTTGTTGGAAGAGAGGAAGCCATGGGTGAGTACTACATTGATTGAAAGAAAGAAGAAGAAGCTGAGGATGAACAGAGCATAAGGAGGCCTCGCTTGGATGCACATATTATTCAAATTAATATCTGAAGACTAAAAGTTTGGAGAATAAATGGACAGTTTGAAGGCGCAGGAGATTTGAAGTTGAAGAAAGGTTGTTTGGAAGGTGAAGGGAAGTAGTGGAGGTTGGTCGCTTTCTAGTTTTTGGGCTAATGCTGATATGGTTCGATATTCCCCAACTCCGTTGGATCTTTCAAAAACTAAAGTCGAATCAGTTATAATCTTTAAGTTAGAATACAGCATCATATATGTGTTAATTATTTAAATTATGTTGAAATAAGTAATTTATTAAGAATAAAAAGGTTTCGCTAATACGTGAAAGTATCACTTGAAATAATTACTCTAAATAATATCTAAATAACCCGTCATTAAATTAATTAACATGGTGATATAATTATTGGATTTGATGGTTGTAGTTTTTATTTTATATTTTAAGATGCTTTTAGTTTTCAATATATTATTATTATTATTATTTTTGGTTTCTCCAATAGTTAATTTGGATGAAAATAGGATACATATAATTTCTTAATAATTTTAAAAGTACTTTAAATGGTTAAATAAATAATTTTAAAGGAATTATTTAAAGTTTAAATAAATGAGGGGCAAAATAAAAGTGGGATTTGGAAAGCCATATATGGTTTGTTGGTTGGAATCCATCTAGGTGTAGGGCCCACTTAAATAAATAAAATTCTAATGGTTTCCAAATTCATAAGTAATTTTATTAATTAAGGTAAAGAATTATCGGGAAAAAGTTAAAATTTTAATTAATAAAATTTATCTTTTAACTCTAAATTCCTAAATTATTTTTATTTCTCTAAATACTCAGAAGAGTTAATGAAATGCTATAATTTAGTGGATAATAGGAATCGTTGATACATGCTAACATGCCAACAAAATCTGTCTTAGATAGTTAAATTGTGCAGGTTTTAGAACAACAATTCAAATGAAAATAATACGTTTATTGTATAAAATGACTAAAATGCCCTTTCTCATGAATGTGAAAGTTTCTTTTGAGTTATTTGTCTTTCTACATTATAGGATTTAAAAACTCGCATGTGATATTAAAGCTGCAATTGATCAAAGAGTAAATAACGCGATCATGTCGTAGGGAATTCAAACGCTATCGTCACAGGGAATGTGAGGGCCATCTTAATCCGAATTTGTAAGGAGTAAACAATGTGATCATGTCGCAGAAAATGTAAGGGTCACCCCATCCGGGTTGGAATCTTGGCCATGGATGTAAGAACAAAAATGATCCTATATATATTTTTTTTTAAGTACGGAAGTTAAAGTAGATATTTTGAAAACTCGTAAACGCTTAAATAATAATAATAATAAAAAAAAAAAAAAGAAATATATGGGGGTAATTTGTAGTACGATAGAGACTAATGGTTAGGGCTTTAAGGACCAATATGGACCAATTCAAAGAGGAGTTAGCTAGTTCTTGTGGTTGTTGGAGAGTTTTCGTGTAGTTTATAATGGGGGTTGGTTGGGTTTGGGGGCAAAAAATATCCATCTTTTTTTAAACACTTAATTAATTTTATTCCCATAAAGACCATTTAACACCCAAATTCAAGAGGCCTAAATAATATAGGTAAGCCCCTAGCTATCCACCCAATTATTTCTAACTTTTCGGGTATGAAACGTTATAAATGTTAGATCAATATACGTACATCACTGTTGATGAAAATGCAAAAATCTCAATTATAGTAAAAATTGTGACACCCGAGTAAAAAAGAGGCACATGAATTAATCAAAACCACTTTCGAACGATAGAATGACTAAAAAAATTGAAAATAAAAAAGTTACTATCTATACCAACAAAGTGTACTTTCATTTTCAGCGACTCAATCATAGGAACATGTAAATGAAAACAAAATATGACATAAAAAAATATCATTCAGAACACTCTTATAAAGTAAGGAGTAGGTAAGGTGACTATTTTAGACCAATGTGGCATAAATTTATATTATATTTATTAATTAAAAGACATAAAATTGATTAATTATGAGAAATATTTATCTTAAATTTAGAATATTATTTTTTAAAAACCTAGAAGACAGAGTCCAAGCCGACAGGCCTCTGCAACGCATGCTCACAGACAAACGAAGCTGAGTAGGATAGAGAAAGGAGGGGGGTTTACAGATGTGGTTATTATTGTAATTACGTGGCTGTTAATTACCAGTACACTTTTTTTTTTTTTTTTAATTTTTGTCAATATTCGTTCACCTGTATCCATACCTACGTGTACACCTCGGTCCCTTGGATTGAATTTACTATATTACCCCTTCTGGTGTCCTCTCGTTAAAGGTTTCGTTCGTTTGAATGTTATTAGAATTTTATATAAATAAAATTATTTAATTTATTTATCCATTTTATTTTTATTAAAATAATTTTCATTCATATAAATTTAAGTTTTTAATTTTTTTGTAATAAATTTTAATAAATATATTTGAATAAATATTTCAAAAATCATAAAAGTATGTAAATCATAAAAGTATGTAAATAATATCTACTACCGATGGAGATGGACAACTATATAAATAAATAATAAAATATATACTACGTTACAACCACTCTTTTATTAAAATTTTAAAAATAAAATAACATGATAATTGGCATTAGAAAAAATTTAAAAAAAATTAATTAAATGAATTGGAAAGATACACATGTGATGCCTACTAATAATTTTACCTATCCAAGAAAAGGTTCCCACACGTGCCACACGTGTTCCACCCTTGAACAATAACTCCTCTCTTTTGCTTCTATAAATTGATGGTACACCTCTCTCACAACACATAACTTAGAAGGAAGAAATGGCTCAAAAAATGGCATAGGTACATTCTTCTCCTCCCTCTACTTCTAACACCGCTCCGTCCTACTCTTCCTCCGCTCATTGTTTTTATCTTCTTTTTTAGATGGGGTTCGTTCGTTCGTTGATGAAAGTAGGAGGATGAATTCGACACGATGCTTGTCGAGTAAACAATCCTCTACTGTAATTACAGTTTTTGCTCTCGTTGTCTCTTCGACCTTAAATTTTTCTTTTTATGAACTCATTCATTTTTTGTTGTCTTCTTTTTTCAAATAAGGGTTCGGTAAGGAAAACAGGGAGATGAATTCGATGCGATGCTTGTCAAGTAAAGAGCCTTCTGCTATAAATCACAACCTTTGCTCTCGTTGTCTGTTCGACCTTGAACTTTTCTTTTTCCAAACCGATTTCATTTTTCGCATCCTTCTACATTTTCAAAATATATAGAGTTTTTTTTTTTTAAAAAAAAACCCTTAAATTTGAATGGATTTATTGGTAGGTAGCACCCAAAAGCACCATTTTGGTAGGTAAATAACATCGTGTACTTTATATATATATATATATATATATATATATTTTTTTTTTTACAAAAGAAAAAAAAACTCTTCGATTAATCGAGGTTATTATTGACTTTTCACGACTCAAAAGTATAGATGTACTTATTTAATAAATTTTGGATTAAGAACTATAGTAAAAACTTTTATTTACTATTGTGTAAAAAAAGTTTTCTCTTCCGACCAGGTGGTGAAAATGGAAAATAAAATCTGAATAATAATTATTTATTTTTTAATTAAGTTTAGTATCTTTGCTTTTGTTAATTAGTCTTCAAAAATATTTTCAAATAAAAAAGATATTATTTTATTTAAATTTGGGTAGAGATGTAAATGTTTCTTAAGAATTAAAAAAAAAAAAATAGAAAACTAAAAATAAAATTATTTCTAAATGTTAGCTTAAAAGGATATTAAGAAGTTTTCTAAATTTAAGTAGAAATTAAACGAATAGATTTTTTTTTTTTTAGAAAGACTTATTTTCTTTTAGTAAGTATTTAGTAATTTTTTTATTGCTATAAATTCGAATATAAATAGGTTGTGTTTGGACAAATTGAAATACTGAGGCCGAACAAACAACAGACACGAGGGATTAGCAGAAGACTGTTTATTTGACAACGGATTTGCATGGAATTCAACGCTTCTCATTGGTCAACATTTCAAAATCGTCCAAAGTTTCCAAAAATTAGTTAGCTATTACGATGTAACGATCCATCCTTTCATACATGAATAAATGAGTTATTATAAAAGACAGAAGAGCAGAGACTCGAGAACTACTCAAAATCATTCATATAAAATGAAAACCGATAAAAGAGAAAAGAATCAATTCTACATGCTTGCTAGAACTTAAGATAAGGCTTTTGTTCATCATCATCCCCAAAGCCTTTCTTCTTAGAATGTTCTCATCCTAGTCTCTCAAAAATTGGTGCACATTTGGCCTTGATACTGGCTACGCGTGCGACTATACCTACATTTTTTTAAGGCATAAATTATAATAGTCGCACTTACCTACTTGTCGCTCCTCTCTATTATGTTGCTATCACGGTGAGACTTTAGAGTGATATCAACCCTTTCCTATCGTAGTTGAGAGTCATTTATAGCTCCAACTCTATCAAACCAACCAAGCTGTTGATGCAACTATCTATGAATGACTCTCAACAACTATTAGAAGTAGTTGATAGTCTTTTAGAATCTCATCACTATAATAAAGGGGCATGACTTGGTGTGTGTCAACTAGGACACATACATGAACTAGCCACAAATAAATTTCAATCGTTATTAAGGATAGTTAGAAACCCTTAGAGTTCATAAACATGGGGGAGCAACCTCATGCCTATAATTAAAATACATATGTGGGCTAGTTATAAATGGTTCTCAATCACTATTAAAGACGGTTAGTAATCTTCTGGAGCCTCATCATAATATTATAATTGAGAGATCCCACGTCGATTGAAGAAGGTTATAAGGGTGTAGAATCCTTCTCTTAACATATTTTAAGCCTAAAAGAGAAAGCCTAAAGAAAACAATATCGGCTAAAGGTAGACTTGGACCCTTATACAAATTGATATTATTGAGGATGGGATAAATAAAAACTTTATGATAATAAATCAATTAATCTTCTTATCCATGTTCCCAATGAGTTGTTTCATCTGAAATCTCCAAAAGAAGAAATAAGCCAAACCGAACCCGACCAATACATAAACCCAAACCCATTCGTCTTCACTCTCTTTGGGAGACCTCATCTCCTCAATCCCGAACCGCTCCCTTCCCGAATTACCATTTAACCCCTCATTCACGTACCCATTCAACACGTACACCCTCCCCTCATTCCCCACTGTCACGCCTGTGGCGAACTTCTCTTCATCGAGGTCAATTTCGTCATAAACCACCCCCTCCCCCCAACTGTCCTCGCTCTTCAGGAACCAAAGCTTTCTGTAACTCACCACCAAAACGACGCCGTCTCTCCTCGCCGCTATCCCGTCCGCCCCTTCCAGATCTTTGTTCAGCAAAACCAGCCTCGCCGTTCCGTCGTCCGCGTCCACTTTGTACATCTTTCCGGTGTTTGATTGCACCACCAGAAGATATCCTTTGCTCACGTAAACCGCTCCGTTTAGCCCTGAGGATGAGAAGACTTCGTTGGGGGTTGCGGGATGGGAACTGTAACTCGTTGATTTCGAGAAGACTGTGGCCGATCCGTCTATGTTTACCTTCCAGATGAAGTTTCCGGCGGAGTTCGTGATGAAGGCGTTGCCCTTGAAGTCGGCCGCGACGGCGTTTGCGACGGGGCGGTGACTGGAGGTTCCATCGGATGGGAGAGAAGTGAGGGAGATGCGGCGGCGAGATCGCAGATCGTAGGTAGCGAGGGCGTTGAATTCCGGAAGTGGAGGGGCAGCATGGACGGCTGCGAGGAGGCGGTTGTTGACGGAATCGATGGCGAGGCCTAAGATCGAGACGTTTTCGGGGAGGTCAGGATCGTGGATTAGGGTTTCGGCGACGCCGGCATCAGAGACGGAGACGAGAGTGCGGTGGTGGAGTGAGCCGACGACGAAATGCTGCGCGGATGCGTCCCATACGATGCCCTCTGGATAGAGATTTGGGGATCGGAAATCGATAAGGTGGGGCTTTCGAGCTAGGGTTTGGGAGAGGAAGAATTGGAAGAGGAAGAATTGGAGAATTGGAGAGCGATGAATTGGCGCCATAGGAGTGATTGTAGAGGACTTACAATGGATTAGCGATTTGTGCAATGAATTTATATGTGAGGAAGAAGATGATGAACAGATTCCTTGAAGAACCAAGACAATTGGACTGGATTTCTTGTCGAAGGGGTTTCTTTTCTTAACTTCTCTGAAGATATTAAAAATTAACATTTTAATTTTTTTTCTTTTGTTCGATTTAGATGATGAAGCGTTCAAAAACAAGTGATCATTTAACTCAAACTAAGTCAATGCACATATGGAAGGTATCTCATTCGACATTCTCAACGAAAAACGATCGTACCTGATTGCATATGAACAAAGATGGTAGACTTCGCCCAATTCTCTCTATCACGTAGTGACAGGCTTCTACCGATTACCTTCTCCAAAGTTTACTCGATGCACACTGTTGTTGGTGTTCTACATAATTAATAAAATTAGATAATCAAATGATTATATTCATTAAATCTTGAAATTTTAAAGACTCGAAAACTCAAATTTTGATGATTAAAATTAATATTATATGACAGATAATCGTAAATTTTTTTTATAATATTCACTAAAATTTTCAAAATTTGATCTTTTATGGCAAGAAGCATCTTAATTTTAAAATGTATTTAATATATATATATATATTTTTTAATTTTTAGAAAATGAAATTTCAATTTCAATTTGTGTCCTCTCCGCCAATCATCTCTGTAGCCGACTTTCCCTGAACTTTATCGAAAGAAGAAAAAACAAGAAGCGTTCTTCTTTATTCATCGCTTCTTCATTCTCGTTTCTCCCACTTGAGTTCAGCTCAATTCTCTCTCTCTCTCTCTCTCATACACAGGCAATAGAATCGTCAGTTTCAGGCATTTCCAGAGTGGGACTTACACATACACCGCCGCCAAGGTGATTTTCTCTTCACCTTCTCGCTTTCACCCTCCTCTAGGTATTTGAATATTTTCACTTATCGCAATTCTACTTTATCTGCACAGGCGAATTAGTCTTTTGGATAGATGCATATACTGAATCTGTATAGACCCTCTTTCGGGCATATCTGCCAATGCTGTGGACATAGCGATTTGCGGGCCTGTTCTAGAGGGTTAACACATATCTCAATCTCTACAGCTCACGGCTTGGTTCCCAGGTATTTGCATGGCTTCCTAGTGTCCTCATGTAATGTTGCAAAAGAAAACAAAGAATTTAAGACCATGAATGGGGAATTGAATGCATCTCGAGTACCTTTCTGTAATGAATATAATGAGAAATCAAGGACAAGTTGCTAAGAAGTAAGTAATAATAACTTCTGGGTACAAAGAAAATGTTAGGAACTAAAGCAAAGTTTGCCTTCTGTTTGGGTTGATTGCTATTTAGATTGGATGATAATAACATGTGCACTAATGCGTTTTTTGAATGTTGGAATCTCATGATTTGTAACCGCCCAAACCTACCGCTAACAAATATTGTCATCTTTTGGTTTTTCCTTCCGGGCTTCGCCTCAAGGTTTTTAAAATGCGTTTGCCGGAGAAAGGTTTCTACACCCTTATAAAGAATGTTTTGTTTCCCTCTCCCACTAACGTGGGATCTCACAATCCACCTCCTTTTGGGGTCCAATGTCTTTGTTGACACTTGTTCCCTTCCTTAATCGATGTGGGACCCCCCAATTCACCCCCCTTTGAAGCCCAGCATCCTTGCTGGCACACCATCTCGTGTCCATCCCCTTCGAGTCTCAGCCTCCTCGCTAGCATATTGTCAGGTGTCTGGCTCTGATACCATTTGTACAACCCAATCTCACCGCAAGTAGGTATTGTCCTCTTTGGGCTTTCCCTTTCGGGCTTCCCCTCAAGGTTTTTAATACGCATCTGTTAGTGAGAGGTTTCCACCCCCTTAAAAAGAATGCTTCGTTTTCCTCTCCAACCGATGTGGGATCTCACATGATTACTAGTTGATAATTATAATATTTCATAGATCTCATAATGTTTATCATTGAAATGTGTTAGACATCAATGTCAACTATAGTTCATGTTGTATCAGACATTAAAAGAGTTTGTCAAACTTATGATCCACTTTTTAGTGCCATCTTGTTCATAATGATATAGTAACACGTTCAAAGAGTAAGATCTTTCAATTTGGCCAACTTTTAATTGATTTTATATCTTAAATAGGTCCAACTCCCATATCTCAGGCATTAAAAGAGTTCATCAAACTTGTGATCCCCTTTTAGTATCATCTTGTTCATAAAGGCATAATGAAACACTTGATGACAAGAAAAATTGACGTGCTGTAAAATTTTCATCTTGTTCTTTCGTTTTAATGTAGAGCTCATCTGTTTGTGCTGTAAAGATTTATGGTGACTTGTTAGCTCTCCCCTTTGCTAATGACTCAACAACTTCAGGAAACTTACGGCAATGTCTGCATCTGTGGCAAAAGATTCTGGAATATCAGTTGCATCAGTAGCAATCCAGCCTCCATCTCACCCTACCTATGATTTGCGTGGCGTCATCAAGTTAGCCCTTGCTGAAGATTCTGCTAATTTTGGTATAATAGATATTACTTTGTAATTTTCCATGGTGATTTCTGGGTTTACCTCCCCATTCATTATGATCTTTTTCTTTTTTAAAAGAGGAATTAGTTGCTGAAATTTTCATTTGCCAAATAATCTTTAGCATAGTTTTTGCTTCCTAGGTATGTTTTCGATCTTAGGTCTTATTTCGTTGAACAAGAAATTTATAGATGCATTCAAATCATCAATGTAATTATATTTTCGACTCGAATCTACTTGGGTTAAGTCTGTTTTTCCACCTAAGTGAAACTGCTGTGATAGTATTCCTAACACAAATGTAGGTGATGTAACATCTCTGGCCACCATCCCCTCTGACATGGTAGTGGATGCTTTCTTCTTGGCCAAAGAGGACGGCATTGTTGCTGGCATTACTCTTGCAAACATGGTATTCCAGGAGGTTGATCCTTCAATTAAGGTAATGTTGATGTTCTCTCTCATTTCTCCCTCCCCCTCTTCCTTTTGATTCTTATCGAGTTATTTATGAGATGGACGTGTTCCCGTTGATCCTAATCCGTCTTCAGGTAGAATGGTCCCAGAAGGATGGAGATTATATTCATAAAGGACTACAATTTGGAAAAGTTTCTGGTAAGAACTGAAAATCTCTAGGAAGCTTAACAAAACTCCGTGTCGAGCATAGTGTTGGTATGGGATACTCCAAACACGTGATGAAGACATGGAAATAAACTTCCTAAATTTCCTAAATTTTTTATATGCAGGGCAAGCACAAAGCATCCTTGTAGCTGAAAGGGTGGCACTAAATTTTATGCAGAGAATGAGTGGAATTGCAACTTTAACTAAGGTTCGTTTGTTTCCCTTATGATGCAATCAATAAGTAGTTTTATAGTATCAATTTCTCCACATAGTGTATAAATATAGGGACACAATGGGGTGAGATAGCCAATGGATTTTATGTTATTTTTCCTTTTTTCTTGTTTGAGTGAGTATTAACAAGTACATGGCATCGAGGATTTTGCAGGCAATGGCAGATGCTGCTGCCCCTGCACGCATTCTGGAAACGAGAAAAACTGCTCCAGGTTTACGTTTGGTGGATAAGTGGGCGGTGTATATCACTTCCTTGGTTCTACTTTTACAGAAACTTTTTTGGCATTCTACACTTATTCTTTATTGATGTTCTTACAGGTATTAATTGGTGGAGGCGAAAATCACAGGATGGGTTTATTTGATATGGTGTTGATAAAAGATAATCATATATCAGCAGCTGGAGGCATCTCAAATGCCATTAAATCTGTTGACTTGTATCTGCAACAAAGAAATCTTAAAATGAACGTCGAGGTACTTTCCCGAATCCTAACGTTTTTTTAATAAGTTTAAAATTGTTTTTCTAGTTATTCTGAATCCTTTTTGTTTGTTTTTATATTGTAATATCTATTGATATTAAAATTCTATGAGTTTCCTAGTAATTAGATGTTATAGGGTTAGAAAATTGTCTCGTAAGATAAGTCAAGGTATGTGCACAGAACATTTATGGATATTAAAAAAATGTGTGGGCGCGTGTGTATGCACTTGTAACTCCGATTTTGTTAAAATTAAATTATAGTGATATATATTACAACTTGTTTGCACCTAAGTTTTATTATTTCTTAAATGTTTAAGGATTTCTTCTTGATATGCTTCAACATGCTAATTTTTGTTTGTATATTGCTTACTTTTAGATGGAACTTAATTTTTCTTGGTTATATTTTAATCAATTTCCAGGTTGAGACCAGGACACTTGAGGAAGTTCATGAGGTACTGCACTATGCAACCCAAAACAAGACATCCTTAACCAGGATGATGTTGGATAATATGGTCGTTCCACTCCCAAGTGGCGATGTTGATGTGTCCATGCTTAAGGAGGCTGTAGACATCATCAATGGGAGATTTGAGACCGAGGTACGTACTGTTTAATACCAGCACATTTCGCAGTGTCGGGAACTTGAAATCTATTGATGGCCTTTAAATTCTGTATACGAACAATAATATTTTTTACTTATAATGAGTTTTGCCCTTTGAAGCGTGACCATTTGGCTCACATAGCGTTTAAGTTTGATAGATATTTGATAATGTGATACTCAACACTTAACACACCATATGCTAGAGTGTCTGGTTTATAATTCGATTGCATGAACACTTTATTTATGAAACAATGGACGAAAATGAAGAATTTTCGATGAAATACATTGGATTATTCTTCTTAAAACACATATTTTTATGGATGTAATACGTATTTGATTTAAGATTATTCTTCTTTACTCGTTTTTAGGTTGAATTTGCATTTAGGAGGATGTCTTATCCTGTTATATAAATGCTTTGTAGTTATTAATTTATTTATATAACGTTATATCAGATTTTGATTCGCCTATTCTCTGGTGGTAGGCTTCAGGAAATGTTACTCTGCAGACCATACAGAAAATTGGACAAACTGGGGTTACTTACATATCCAGGTATAATACACAGATTGTAATATTTTATCAGCAAGCTTCCAGCTTTTCTTTAATTAAAGTGTGTATACATACATACATATATATATATAGTTTCAATGCTATTACTTCTCTTAAAAGTCTCTAGTGTCATAAAAAAAGCTTTAAAAGATTTGTTGACAGCCTAATACTGACTCAAAAGAGTCCCAGAAAAGCACCTGAGAGCTAGGAGTTACTGTATTATCCCAGCTATATTTTCTGACACATTATGGCCTTTTGAGGAAATATTTCTTGATTGCCCTGTATTCCATATATTGCAGTCGTATTTCCTTCGCAATATCCTCGCATTAGTTTACTCCTAGCATTTACTGTTGGCCTAGCAGTAGAATCCTTGAACTCACCTTCACTTGTTCCCTTCAAGGTGCAGGTGCCATATTATCCACATATTATCCACATATTATCCACACATTATTGAAGTTCCAAATCCATAGCCATAGAGAAAAGATTATTCTGTTGTCTTCTGTAAATTCGCTCCGACCAGCTAAAAAATGAAACATTGCCCTGCTGTCTTCTATAAATTTGGCTCCAACCAGCTTAAAACAAAACAGTGCATCTTAGATTTGATGGGTAATGCGACATAGATATTGATACATCAAATCATAGAGAAATCTTTGATTTAGTTATCCGAGAAGTTTAGTCAAGGCTCAAGCTGAGTCTAGTGAGGATATTGCTTTCTGCCAGTTATGCTAATATATGCTCCATGTAACACAGCAAGCAAAAGTAGTCGGGGAAAAGCTAACCTGCTGGAATACCATTCAAACAAAAGAAACAATGTCCGAGTCAAAATATACTCTCAAGGAAACACGTTAAGAAACTCTCATTTCTATTCATAAAAGATGAAGCAAAGGAGAAAATGATTCTAAAACAGTGAAAACTTTGAAAACCTCCACTCAAGTAATAAGAGAGCTCTTTTATTTTGCAGCCTCATGCATATGTTCCATCTATCTCATATGCTCATCAGCAAAATTGACGTTATTGTACGTGGATGCCATGTTTGTGCTATTATGTCTTTTCTTTATTGCAAGGAGAGAACCATTTCTTGACCAAATCCTAGTGGAAGTGGGGATCAAGCTATAGAAACTAGGGGCTTTTTTTTTCCGTCTTTTTTTGCTATCTTTTGAGATAATATTTTATGACTTCATCTTTAATCTTTGCAGTGGTGCGCTGACACATTCTGTGAAAGCACTTGATATCTCTCTCAAGATAGACACAGAGTTGGCCCTTCAAGTTGGAAGACGTACAAAACGAGCCTGATTCTAAAACCCCACGTATCTGGTAATGTTTATCCTTTAACGTTTTATTTTTGGGAATAATTCAATTTTAACCCTAATTTTTCCATTTCATCAAATTATGCCTAGACTTGGTTAAATGATGCAATTTCTATCATCTATTCAAATCTTGTTAATTCATCTACTAATTTTAACAAATGTGGGGTGTTTAGATTTAAACACCTGTGTTCATGTTGATCCTAACCAAGTTTTGTTATATGATTTAAAATGAATTTATAATTTATATGATTTTGTTTGGAAGCTATGACTTTTCCTTTTTTGGGTATCATCTAAATTTCTGTTTGCAGCCTGAAGTAGTCTTTTTAAGCATTGAAATTCTAGTTTGGCCTCTGAAATTTCGTACTTAATTCTCTTTTAGTTCCTAAATTTTCGAGCATTTTGTTGACCTTGCATCAACAAGAATTTCAGTATTTGTCATTATGCTTGTGAACTATTCAATAAAAACTCGACATAACAAGCATTTTTGGGGGTTTATTTACTGGACGAGTAAGTTATCAGGTTGAAGCCATCTGCAGTAGCTTAAGTTTTGTGTATTTTTGTTCAAGATGAACTCTGGATATTTTAGTTTTATCGTTAATTTTCTAAACTATTTACTAAAAACCTAACATAGGTACTTTATTTCTTTGATGAATAAGGTATCCATATAGGCAGATCCTTGTGGTCACTTGCAGTAGTCTTAAGTTTTGGATTTTAGAACAGATTGAGAGTTTTGTTGAATGATTTATGAAAAGTTTAGGGCAATAAAAAAAAAAAAAAAAAAAAAAAAAAAAAGTGTTCCAAGTTTATAGACAAACATAATATTTGGAACACAGAAACACATATTAAATGGAAATTTGGTATAATTAATTGTAAATGGAAGAAGGTGAGTTTTGTTATTCAGTGTTTCTTGGAAGTTGCTTGTGGAAGTTATGAATTGTCCAAATCTAATGGTTGCGTGTAGTGTATGGCTGTGTAAGTCTTTAACGTATTTCTTTTGTTCTCTCTCACTTTCTTGCAGGGACCAGGCGAGAGATGAGAGGCCTTTGCCGTGGTGGCTTACACCCACTTTATTATTACCCGTGAATCACTCATTTCTTTGACGCCAAACAATAAATAAAAAGTGGGTGCTTTAGTTTTTAGTCCTTAGAGGTGGTTTTTCTTTCTACAGAACCCCCCCTCCCTTTGTAGCTGTAGCAGCCAACCTGAAACTTTATCATCCTATCTATTACTTTTTTTGCACTTTTAATGCTTCTCTCCATTATCTTTCCCAAAATGTTAGAAGGGGTTGAGACACGAGTGTCTCATGCTTTTGTGTACAATGCTTGACCCTAATTCTTATACGAATGCCATGCTGACTCCCATTTTCTAGGCTTTCTTTTGCTTGAGGGCTGCTTGTAATAATCAAAAATTACAAAGTTAATCCTATAATTTACTTTTAGTCCTTTTAACAACGCTAGGCTCAATGATGCCATACCAATTGGTCATAATGCGGAACAAATTGAATATGGGTATATTATGCATATTGTATTTTGATTGAATGTACCTCTCGTTTTGCCCGGTCGTCATTGTATCAAATTGATTAGTATTTGTCCCATAAATATTGTCATACAAACTAAAGAATTAACTTATCCTAAAAATAGGAAGAAAGTGGGAAGAGATAGAGATGTCTCCTTAACGGGCTTGTAAACAAAAACTATATTCTCTCAAATTTGTCTAAATATAAGATACGAGAAAAAAAAATATGTAATAGAAATTATTCATTTTCAAATGAATAATTTAAAAATATATATATATATATATATATTAAAAATCTCCAACAAAACCCAATTTCCTCGAATTCCTGGTATTGTGGGCACGTTTAAATTACAAAATTTAAACTCATGGTTTCTATAGTATAGAGAGAGGGTGATGAAATGAAGGTGAAAGCATAGTTGCTGTTGTAAGGTTGTCGTGTAAGGGAGGTGCCAACCCAACACAACCAACCAACCAACCAAATGCTGCTTTATTATTATGCATCAGCTCAGAAACAGAGCATGTTATTTTATTCCATTCTCTGTCGGCGTTCCCCATTTATTCCTTTCCAATTACCCAAAAAACAACCCTCCATTCTTAGGGTTCCCCAAGTTATTCCCACTCATGTACTCCACCTCACATTCTCCACCCATCAACGGCCCAGATTCTTTGGAGAAATTTTTCCATGATATATTATAGCTTCTTTCACATTATTCTTTGATGGTTCTATTGTGGGAACAGAGAGAGGTATAGTATAAAAATATTAGATGCTCTTTTCCCATTCTTATTCTCTGAGGCAAAGGCTTCTCAAATAAAATCCTCTCTGTTTGGCTATATTATGACTTGTAAGGTTCTATTTTCCCTGTTCTTGGCTATCAACTTCCCTTATTCCACAAGTTCATCTTACCCCTTTCCTTTCCTTTCCTTTCCTTTCATGCAAGAGTTTGGATGCATGTCCTCCAGATTTGATTTGATGCTATACTAAATCTTCACTAAACTCAAAAAAAAAGTGTGTATGATAACGAGTTATGATAAATGTAATTATATTGATACAGTTTCACAAAGTAAGAAGTGGTCGGAGCCCATAAAACACAACAACAAAAAAAAAAAAAAAAAAAAAGAACACAAGAAATCCATATTGATTAGAAGCTTATAAACTTTCCTCCATCAATAATAAAGGCAACCTTTTCCTAACCACAGTGATCAGAAGGATAAGGTTTAGACCACTCTGTTTAGACTTAGAGCCAAGATAAAGCTACATCTATCTTCGTAATTGGTAATAAAAAGGGCACCACTTAACAAAGAAACTTATGGCAAGTGGGGATTATGCCAAGTCATGTCATTTGGGGTTTTCTAGCCGACCAAGCCCCAGAACTCATGAATTTATTGGCCTGCCCCTTTTTTCCTCTAAGATATCATTATGATGAAGCCAAATTACTCCTAAAGTTTATTTGACAATGTTGGAAGATGCCTTTCCTAGATGATAACTTTTAACTTTTTAGTTTAGAGGCTAATTTTGTTTTCCAAAGTTTTGATCTTTCTTAGAGAATGATCCAAACCTCAATCCCACATCGGTTTACATTTGTAAAAAGAACACTTCAAACCTATTTTTTAGAGCCTATGGTTATATGTGAGTGAGCTATTATTACTTTCTATTAAGATACTTATAATTTACTCTAGCGCAAAAAAAGAAAAAAAAATTGAAGTGTTTAAGATGAGTAGCATTTCCACGTGAAACACTTTTTTTTTTTTTCATATTAATTAATTGCTTCATTTAAAAGCATCTAAAATGCTCTTGAAGAATTTTCCTTTTTGATGATGCGACCAAACATCACGAAGATTTTAAAAAGTAATTTTAATTAGTAAATAAAAAAGAAAATTGTTCCTCATCAGTATAAATAAAGAAATAAGAAAAACCCCATAAATGGTCAAAATACAAGAAAAAGTAAGTTTGATACAAAATCAGAATCACATGAAGAAAAACAATATGTGGGTATCCAAATTTGCAAAATCCATTGGAAACAAATTAAATAGCTCAAACAAATTTATATAAAAGAAAAAAAAAAAGTCTAAAAATGATAGGGTCATGGTATGAACTATGTAAAAGGGGCCCTAGTGGTTGCCATCCTCATTCCAGACAAAGACAGTCCAAATCATATATTGACTTTAGCTACCATGTATATATGTATGTATATGTATATGTCATGTGGAAGGGAATCTAACATAAACAAATAAAGAGGGCAAAGGATCATAAATGGTGGGATCAGATTAGCCCTAATTTGACAAATAATTCACAATTAAAAGAATGAATCATGCACAGTTCAGAATACAAATTCCCCATAAAAAAGCAGTGATTCAAAACATACCCTTCGCTTATCATGTGGAGATGAGTCAGGCATGATGAATAATCCGCCCATGGGCGGCGCTGGCAGTACGCCTCTTTCCCCCTGCCCGCCCAACCGATGCCATTGGCGTGTCTAAATGACGCAAACATTTTCACAAACACTTGGCGTGCGTTTTGGACCATTCGCTTTGCCCACTCATCTTCCTTTAAAAAAAAAAAAAAAAAACAGAAAAAACCCATTGAGAATCAAATCCAAACGCTGTATGTAATTTAAAACTAATGAGTCGATTTGCTGCTGAAAAACGCCAAGAAGATAACGCAATTATGTTGAAGTTGAATAATGTTTATTTGAAAAGAAAGAGGAGAAGGGCTTATCTTTCGGCGGAGCTTGTCAGCACATACGTCTCTCTCTCAAGACGTTGTTGTCTCACCAAACAAAACTGTCGCCATTGCCTTCTCTCTCGCCTCTTCTCTTTTCATTTCCATCTCACATTCTCAACACACCCTTTTCTTTTTTTGGGGCTTTTATTTTCAATTATCCAATTTTAATTCATCTATTTTCTATAAAGGCATACAACCACGGGATAATAAAATTAAATTTGCTCCACTTAAGCTATCAATTGAGATTGTTGTCAGGTTGTCATTGTCACAACCAAACCATTATGATACTCAATTGTTGTAGTTGAAGCGGAAGTAAGATCGATCGTACTCACACACCCACGAACAAAAATTAAACTAAGGCCAAAGAGAAAAAATTCATCTATTATCTATTAGTGGTAGCTAATTATTATACCTACAAAGTCTTAACAAAGTTCTTCTAAATTGAACAATGACTCCCTATCTAAACTCAAATATCACCATGATAATGATTATTATCTCAAAACAATGTTATATAAGCCTTTATACATATCTATCCATACTAATTCTCATATCTTAATTAAAATGATTTAAACGAGAATATGAATCACAACCATTATGAACTAAATGAGAGATACCATAAATTCTTGCATCAAACGTTTGATCACCGTGGTGATGTCTTGCTCTGAGTGTTGGCTCCCATTTCACGTTTGGTGCAATGAATCGGCACCTTTGGTTTAGGGCTCATTCTTCCTTGCATATTCCAATTCCATCGCAATCATTCGATTTCGTTGTAGTTGTCTTCATTTTGCTTCACCATCTCCCGTCGATTTTCACCGCCATCGATCTCGCGCCACACCCATCCAGGAGCTGTCGCCGCTGGCCACGACCGAGGAAGGAGGATAACTACCGGAATTCAGCTAACCCCTTGTAATGACCCCACTTTTTTACACACGTATCAGTTGAAGCCATACTGCTAACCATTTTATCATTTAAAAATAATTAAAAAAAGAATAGAAAAAAAAAAAAATATATATATATATATATATACATACAAGTCATTTGTTTTTTCTTAATTTTTTTTTTTCAGAATTTCCAATTTATTGTATTTTAATCTTAAATTAACAATCATGTAAAATTACTCAAATACATCTCAACTCAATTTTTCCTTTTTTTTTTTTTTTTCATTACTTGTTTTCTTTTCTTTTAATTATTTGTTTTGTTGGCTTTTTACAAATACGAAAATGCCCTTATGTCCATTTCTGTAATTCCATAAAACATTTTTGGAAAGTAAAAAAAAAACGTTAAAAATACAATTCATTCCCATCGCCATAATTCTAGATGACGTTAAAACAAATAAACCAAAATCAAGTAAATTATTAAATCCTTATTTATAAATTAAAATAAAATATGTAATTTTGTATATTACAATTATACCATTTAAATTTTATTTCAAACCTATTGATACAATTATGCTATAAGATTTAGTTTGAGAGAGTATTTTTAGAATAAATTTTTTAAGAAAATCATATTATTCTAATTAAAAGATTACATGAATTATACGGATGAAAATATCTAAAATTTTGATAGTTTGATTCGAACTTTTGGTCCCACGTCTATGTCTAACTTTTTTTTCTCCAAGATTACCTCGCAAAAAAAAGAAAATTAAATAATTAAATAAAATTATTAATTACTGGTCTATTATTAAATTAATAAAAGAGCTAGAATTATATTTTGGAATTCTAAAATTGGATCCATTATTTTCTATAAATACAACAAAAAAAAAAAAAAAAGAATAATTCCTCTGCCTTTGCTTTCTTTTCAAGAAATAAACCATCAAATCACCCACCCCAAGAGGTTTATATTTATGAATTAAGAAATATAATGAAGAACAAGCCATTAAAACGACGTCGCATAGGAAATTAAAAATGGCAAAAGAAAATTTCATACCAAATCCAAAGTAGTGGATTACCACATTTAATTCCATTCCATGAATTTCCAATATGAAACATACCGTTTATTAAACAAAACAAAATAATAATAATAATAATAATAATAATAATAATAATTATAAAAAGAAACCCAAATTTAATTATATTATTAATTGTTGCTTCTTTTACAATTCATTCCATTAAAAAAAATATAAATAAAACAAAATA